GAGCGGGGGGGCAGCGGGAGAGAAAACCTGATGTTTACTGTCCCCGAATCAGACAAGCTCTCTGCTCTTCAGTTACACCTGCACACACTGAGGACTGGGGGGGGGTCATACACTGTGGTGTATCATTGCATTACACACACAACTTTTGACAGCTTATTATTCAAAATAGTTAAACACTGCAGCTTTGAGTCCAAAAATAGGAACATATATACTGTAGAAAAATGAAATGATGCCTAACTTGATTCTTATATCATAACTTTTACCATTCAAACCATGCCTTACCATTTAAACAACCAGTGGAAGAAGAAGTATTCAGATATTTTGCTGAAGTATAAGACCAATTCTTAGTATGATAATTAAAATATACTCAATGGGGCAAAAGAAAAGTGCATAATGCAGAATGAATCGCCTGGAAGAAGGGCAGAAGGGGAACAGTGAACCTGGGTATGGGGCAGTGCTGGAGCGGGGGTCATAGGACTGATGAACCATGGGAGGGGGTGTGGGCGGAGCTTGGGCGGAGGCCACGCGGTGAAACTGGAGACTGGAGTGAGGGGCGAGCCCTCTGTCCTGCCGATTCTGATTTCTTTCTGAGAACTGTTTTTGACAGCATACGCTCATATTTAAGTACCTTTTCTTTAATGGAAAAAAATAATTCAACTGTATTTTCCCTATAAACAAATGACATATTCTCCAAAACTAAACCAAGTAATGCAACCTTCTCTCACTTAAACACATGTTAAAATAAAAGTTTTCCATTAGCTTCCGGACAAATCTAATCCAACTGATTCTGAATTGCAGTATATCCCAAATACAGGAGATTTAACGAGTCTGTTTAAAACGCTTTCCGATTATAAACAGCTTCATGTTTTTGCATTTGGCTGGATGATGCAACACAGAGGGAGCTGAACTTCACAAATTGCAAAGATACAACACTGGAGAACTCTGAAGAACACTGACATGCATATAGTGTGTGTGGGCGATAAACCATCACGTGTCAATTTGACCAACGAAAGACTCTGAGAGTCCTGACAGATCAGCTGACAGATCGATGGGTGCGTCTCTACTCTCATGGCGGGGGGGGGATGCTGTCCCCTCCACTGGGTCGCATCAGATGAGTGAACCTCACAGAGCGGGGGGTCATCGCTGTGTGCCTCCCCGACCAGCCGCCCCCCCCAGCAGATAAAGAGCTATTGACGGAGTGAAGAATCCCTCCCCCTGGTAAAGGAGGTCAACACCTCGTGATGAGGGATGAAGAGCTGTCTGCTCCTGAAGAGGCGGGTTATCTGATTTCCAGACAGAACTCTAAAATATTTGTTTGTCACACATTATTAGGCACATCTATTGTTTTCAATGCAGCCCTCAGTATCTCATTATTCATTCTCCCACATTTAGAGTTTTAATGAAGTGACAAATTGAGAAATATAATAAGTAGGGCTGTCAGTCGATTAAAATATTTAATCGCGATTAATCGCATGATTGTCCATAGTTAATCACGATTAATCGCAAATTAATCGCACATTTTTTATCTGTTCTAAATGTACCTTAGAGGGATATCTTTCAAGTTTTTAATACTCTTATCAACATATGAGTGGACAAATATGCTTTATATGTTTGTTTATTATCATTTGAACAATGACAAATATTCTCATGAATATTAAACACAACAACCTGAACATTACAAATATTAGCTTCAATTCAACCTGGAACCTCTCTCATACAATGTGTGTGTGTGTGTGTGTGTGTGTGTGTGTGTGTGTGTGTGTGTGTGTGTGTGTGTGTGTGTGTGTGTGTGTGTGTGTGTGTGTGTGTGTGTGTGTGTGTGTGTGTGTGTGTGTGTGTGTGTGTGTGTGTGTGTGTGTGTGGAGACACTGTGATGGATCGTTGGAGGAGCTATGTGCAGCTCAAGGCATATATGCTCGAATGGGAGCTGCCTGGACGCTGCAATCATGTTGCGCGTACTATCCGTGCTGAGTGTGCTGACTTTTCGTACAATGTCCCACTGTCTGGCTACCTGCATAAAGTCAAGTGCTCGGCGCAGTTGTCGGCGAAATGTCATTGAAACAGCTCCTTATATCCGTTAGCGCAGCTAGCTAGCACCAGATGCTAACAACAACAACACGTAAGGTGTGCCTCGCTCGCGCGAGTCGCACCACACATACACACTCCCTCCCGGTCCTCCCGATGGCCAGTCCGGGCCTGCCAGTGAGCGTGGAAGTGTGGTCTGCCACAAGCGGGCGGTAGGAGCGGGGCTGTCAGCATCAGCTTGTAGATGGTATTTTAAACTCCATGCGCTCTGAAACTACGGCGGCCGAGGACAAAAAATACACATGCGTTAATCGCGTTAAAATAATTAGTGGCGTTAATTTTTTTTTGCGTTAACGCGCCCTAATAATAAGACCACATAATGTTTAAAGGCATTTGCATTCAGGGAAAAGAGGTCACGGCTGCATGGAAATGTAATGAATATTACATTAAAGTGGACCTATCATGCTATATTTGAATAATATAGTGTAGGACCATACCTATATAAGGCATATTTATACTTTTTTTTTTGCAAAATACCAAACAGATCATGCATTTTAGCCATGCCTCATTTTGCTCAATTTGACATTTTTTAGCTCTGTGTTTGTAAGGGCAGATTCTGTGAGAACAGCACCATCTACAGGCCTGGCATATGTACTACAGCGTCTCCAGCGCTTTCGAACGGCAATGTCCGTGGCTGTCTCCTCCTGATTGGTGGATAGCCGTAGCGCCACCGTCCTGACGTCAGAACAGTGTTCAAATCTGGATCAGTTTTTATCAGATCCGTTGCAGCCCCTTTTTTAGAGATTTGGGTATGGAGGAAAATAGAGAGGGTTGTGTTTTCTGACACTTGGTGAGTTCCCTGGAACACCGGGGACACATATTCATGTAGAAAAGACGTACAAAAGTGCATTTTGCATTATAGGTCCCCTTTAAAATATGATATTATTTTCTTGTTAGCAGCCTTGTGTTAATAAAAGGGAGCTATGGGAAGGATATTTTAAGAGGGTATCATTAAGAAGTGGTATTTACATTTGACTGTTCATTAAAAAATATGTTTTATTAAACAATGCTTTGACAGAAGATCGTTTTCACTGTGCTGGGTGTGCACCCTGTCCACTGTTTCTCTTTATTTATATATTCTTGGCAGTTTAAGGTGAACTTTATGTTTGCAAACTGAACTTATAACAGTTTTTACTTTACGATGTGATGAGGTGCACTTCATTAAGGAGAAATTATTCTTGGGGGAGAACTAACAGGTTTAACTGAGACCCCCCCTCATTGACAAGCTCCTTGGTCCAGCCTCTTCATTTTTGCCTCACATATTTGAATATGCATTATTCTATATGATACAATTTGACCATTTTGATTAAGCAAAAATGTTCCAAAATCCATTTAATCCCAATGTTTATAGACCACTGTCCCCTATTCTGCTTTTTGGCTTATCCCTTTCCTCTAGGTTTTTGTGCATGTCAATGGTCTGCAACAGCTAAAATCCCTGTGTTCCCTCCAGAGGGAGTTTCTCCCCCACACACTCCCCCCCCCCTGCCTGAAACTACTCCATTGGACTCCTTTGTTTACTTCAGGAACATAGTGACATCACTATGGAACACTCTGGATAAATAATAAAACTGGAATTGAAATCCTTCAGGTTTAGCGGCTTTTAGAAGCAGATTTTATTTCAAGCTATAAAAACGTTTTTTTGTGGTTGTGATCTGAGAGTAACCTCAGATAATGACCTGCCATATCGATACACGCCTCATCTCCTTTCATCAGTCCATTCTCCTCTCCTACCATCTGTGAAATGACTGCACACACACACACATACACAAACACACACACACACACACACACACATTTTAATTAGTTTTTGTGCTTATTATCCTGACCCTCTGTGGGGATGGTTGCTCACCCAATGAAGTGACATTTATACAAATGAGCCCTGATCACCTGACTAGTTGTCTGACCAGTGATGACATGTATAGCTGCATGTTATCATTTCAGTTGTTGTCATGTTGCTTTCCTGCAAATGGTGTTGGCTTTGTAGATAATTGCTGTGCTTTCTGGGGAACATCAGATCTGATTAGGAGAGATGGCATTCAGCCGACTCTGGAAGGAGCAGTTCTCATATCTACTAATATTATAAACGTGTATTAGTGGCCAACCAATCAGAGTTGAGACGAGGCGGGGTTGCAGTCTTACAGACTTCTGAGGGCTTCGTTTTGGGCATCCACTCAACAAAACCACTTAAAGAATTAATTAAAAAGTAAAAATATGGGGAATAGTACATTAAAGTGAAACTAAACAGGAAAATGTAATGAGAACTCTCAAAGGTCAGATCTTAACCTTCTAAAGCGTTACTAGTAAATTATTTGATATCAGATAATCAGATTGACTTCTGTTGTCTCACTGAAACCTGGCTGAGACTGAAGAATATCTCAGCATAAATGAGTTCACTCCACCCGGTCAGTTTGATACTCACGTTCCTCGAGGCCAAGGGGGTGCAGGGCAGCCATCCTTGACTCAAGCCTACTAATCAAACCTAAACTAAATTATCACTCTTTCAAAGCCTTCCCTAACCTGGAATTTTATTTGCAATTGTATTCAACACTCCTGCTCCTTCTCCATAGAGCATTTATTGGTCTGTCATTAGGCAAACTTTCCTGCATTGGAAGTCTGATAGTGCTATTTAAAAGAAGAGATCCCGTTGGCATTAAACTCAATAACATTTCCCAGTATAGCCTTACACTTTTAATCTATTTTCATTTTTCTAATTTTCTAAATTCCTGCACTCTGTCTACCTCCTTTATTTGAACTCTCTCGCTCTCTCTGTCTTTCTCTCTTTAAAGTATGTGGTTCTCCATATCAGTGTCAGAATGCTAGATGTTGTGTGTCTGCCTCTGTGGGCTGTGTACTGTTTTAAAAACAAGTGAAACTTTACCATCTGTTAATCTCTCTCTGTCTCTCTCTGTCTGCAGCCTACAGTGAGTAGGAGCAACCCAGGTGGATCAAGATTTGAAGAAAGAAACCAGAACTAGTGGTGAGCTCTCCTTCCTTTCCTCTGGTCACATGTCCTTCTCCTGCCTCACCTGCAGCATGTCCCACCCTCAAAACAATGTACAATGTTGAGGATCTTGTATTAAACTCAAGCATTTTATACAAATGTATACTACATTTCATTGATAAATATTGCACTCATTCTCCTTCTACTACATTTCTAACAACAGTTAATGAATAGTATTAAAGAGACAGATAACATCAAAGAGGCCCTGTTATGCTTTTGGCTGTTCCCTCTCCTGTAGTGTGTTACTGTATATAGGTGTTTGTGTGCATGTCAATGGTCTGCAAAGGCTAAAATCCCTGTGTTCTCTAGAGGGAGTTTCTCTGACGGTTGAGTGGATAAAGGGCTAGAGCAATGTATTCTGGGTAACAGTAACGGCTCATTCGTTTTATCCCACGGCAACACAGCCAAGTGGTGATGAATGGGCACTGTTGTGTGGGTCATTGCTGTACGTGTGTGTTTGGTTGTGTAAGCGTGTGTGTGTTGTGTCTTATATTACTTCTCACTCGTCCTGTTTTTTGTGTGAGCGTGTGTTTTTGACAGGTGAAGATAATTCATGAGAGCTCTCCTTGTGTATATATGTTTTCTCTTAATGAATGTGTGTGTGTGTGTGTGTGTGTGTGTGTGTGTGTGTGTGTGTGTGTGTGTGTGTGTGTGTGTGTGTGTGTGTGTGTGTGTGTGTGTGTGTGTGTGTGTGTGTGTGTGTGTGTGTGTGCGTGCGTGCGTGCGTGCGTGCGTGCGTGCGTGCGTGCGTGCGTGCGTGCGTGCGTGCGTGCGTGTGTGCGTGTGTGCATGAGAGGCCGTCTTGTTTGTTTGTTTGTAGCCTTTATTTAACCAGGTTAAAATCCCATTGAGATCAACGATCTCTTTTTCAAGGGAGACCTGCGGTACATTGGTTACACATAAAAACAACAGAAAACAAAAAGGACATCACAACATAATTAGAGGGGTATAAATTAGCAACCTATTCACAATGACAGGTATCTAATAACATTTCATCCAGCCGTGCTTTAAAATGATGCAAGGGAATCAGAATGCTCAGTTTCAATGTTTTTTGCATAGTGTTCCAAGCTAGAGGAGCAGCGCACATAAAAGCTTTAGTACCTAAAAGCTTTAGTACCTACGTAGCTCACAACTCATACTTGGTCTTACAAACAGTATCAGAATCTCACACATACACCATTAAACTCTTTTATACATATAGCTAAACACTTTTACACGCACAATCATACTGTCTTTCACACATGTTTGTCTGGGCCATAAATCAAACTTACACTATTATTCCCACTTACAGACAACATCATACTACAATATAATACTCTAGTGTATGCAAGATAGAAAACTTTGTGTGTGAGAAAGAATGATAGTGTATGTGAGAGAGGAATTGTAGTATGTATGAGGGTATAGTAGTGTGCGTGTGTGTGTGTGTGTGTGTGTGTGTGTGTGTGTGTGTGTGTGTGTGTGTGTGTGTGTGTGTGTGTGTGTGTGAGAGAATGATAGTGTATGTGAAAGACAATGCTTGTGTTTTTGAGACCTTATGACAGATTATGTGAGAGGACATTGTACTGGTTGAGAGAGAGTATACTTTAAAAGGAAGTCAGGTTGATCCAACAGGAAGCCAGTTTAAATATTCATTCCTTGACTGGTTTACAGCCTTGAAAACAAAGCCTGAAGCTGCTCAGAGCACTGCTAGCTACATTTGAGCTGCAATAAGAACTTTTGGTAATACTTTATATTAAGGTTCACAAATTCACCATCAACTAGTTGTTAATTAACATGCTTATTAGCAGTATATTGGCTCTTTATTAGTCATTATAAAACACTTATTAATGCCTTATTCTACATGACCATATTCTACAAGTAATAAGCCATTAGTTGAGGGTTTTTCCTCAATAACCCTCTAATTGGTGCTTATTTATTGCAAGTAAGGAAGTTATTGTACATGAGTTTGGGTCTTAATATGCTCTGCTCAATATGGGCCTTTTAAGGCAGTAATACCACAAGAATAGTAATTCTCCCATAATAACACTTAACAAATATGATCTATTCTTATGTAACAAGACATGAAACTATAAGTGTTAATTAAGTCTAAATAACTCAAAATGAGGTATTTCTATCTAAGAATATGTTCCTTATTTTAAAGTGAAGTCTTGTTCATAACCAATAAGCTAGTAGTTTGACTCTAATTGACCTGAACAGGTTCCCTATTCTAAAGTTGCCTCCTCTTCACACTTTGTAAATACATGATAGCACACAACTACTGAAATTAAACCTCAACAGCACATGAACAACGTAGGCTCACGTTAAAATATCTGTTTTATTAAACCACTAAAGAGAGGTTCAGACACATCTCAAAACATGTCAAGTTTCTCCAAGGCTGAGAACACATATGCAGCCTGTACTTTTTAATAAAAACTGATTTTTAGAGTTTATCTATTTGTGATCATACTGTGTGACCTGCTTGTATGTACTTACACAATATGTGTACTGTTCTCTCTATGTGTTGTACTGTCTCAGTGTGAACATAGATTAAACAGCCAGCCAAACTCTTTTGAGAGCCAGGGAATGAGCAGCCATGCTCCTTTATTGACTTATTTGCAGTCCGCTGACATTCAAACGGAGTGAAACTATAAAAAAAGGCACTTAAAGGTGGGGTAGGTAATTTTGGAGAAACCAGCTCGAGTGCGCTAGGGTTTGAAAATACACAGCCGGAAAAAATCTGCCACTTCCTTATAGAGCCCCTCCTCCAACACACACGAACGCGCACATGACCAATGAGGGAACGAGATAAGTTTGTGCACAGATGGAAGGCTGACAGGCAGGTAGGACATCCAGTTATTTTAGCCGGGCCGGCTAAAATGATTGGTCGTACTTTTTACAGTACTACGGCTTCCACAGATGACATTTTTTTATGGATTTTTTGTCAAAGCACTTAAAGGAGAGGTGTCATGGCCATTTCCACTGATCATAATTCCATTGTTGAGGTATACTAAAATAGATTTATACTGTGCATTTTTCCAAACTCACATTGGTTTCTCATTCAGCATCTCTGTAAACTACGTGTATTCACTGAATTTCACTCTCTACCTTTAACGGCTCGTTGGAGCTCCAATAGCTCCAGCTCCCACCCTCCCTGTGAGCACAGTGTGCTCTGATTGGTCGGGACGTTGTGAATCGCGCTGAGCTCCGTGGAGGTGTTGCTTCCTTGTTTAGCATACATAGCGAAACACAGCCAAACTCATCCTGAGCACACACAAAGTCACAGTCGAAGTAAAAACAATAAGTGTGGCTTGATATTGAGTAAGACAAAGGTTGATAAACGCTGTGAGAATAATAATAATAATAATAATAAATTCTATTTATATAGCGCTTTTCTAAGACCCAAAGACGCTTTACATTTGGGGAAGGGTAGACAGACAAGGACAGGCAACAAAACAACAACAAAACAAAAACAAAACAGAGTTTCTCTGGGTCTGCAGAGAGAATTTCGCCGCGATCCCAACGGTCTGTTATCAGCCTGCAGCCAGGGAGGAGAAATCAGCAGAGCTGCCTGCTCCCTGCACACAGATGTGTGTGTGAGGAAGTCCGTGGATCGGTCAATTTGGACCAATCAGCGGGGGCTTAATGTAACGGCTCCGCGGACGTAACGTAACGGCTCTTCGGGATTGGTCCATTTCGTTCCGGGTACCACTTGACATCATGCCGTACCCGGAACTCAAATGGCCAGTGACGTATCTCCAACGAGGCGTTTTGGGGAGGTATTTTCTGTGTTAGAGTTTTACTCGCTACAGGGTGTACTTTGAGGGTTTTGACTCTGCACAGCGTTTACATGCATAAAAACCTTCATAACACACAAGGGGACGGGTAATAACCGGAAAAGCATGACATGGGAGCTTTAAGATATTCATTGCTATCGGGATGTTAAGAGCATTCCATGGAATATAACAAAAAGTGTATCTCGAGCCGGTTTCTCAAACTTACCTACCCCACCTTTAATGATCTCATACATGCAAGTGTACCATACACAGATTAACCAACCAGTCTCACGGCATTTCGTGTTATAGTCACGACATTTAATCTATTGATTCGTGTTCACCAACGCGATTTTCCCCTTTTTTTCGTGTCACACAGAACGATTTTAAAAGCAATGTATTTATATTGGTAGTATGTTTCGTGCCTGCACCACGTCTTTTTGTCCGGTCGGGTCTTGGAAGACCGGAAGCTGTGTGGTTCTTAAAAACATTTTCTTACTCAATATCAAGCCACGATTATTGTTTTTATTTTAAATCGTATAATGTCTGACTTTCTTTGCCGTCCGTGAGGAAAATAAATGGGGCTCAGAATACTGAAATATGTATTTTTTAAATATTTTTTTCCTTCTAATTTGTTATTCTTTTCTAAATAACACACTGTTAATTACTCAACAATAACACACAATTATCCTTGTTTTTATTTATTTGTTTAATTCTATAATCTCTGGCTTTTTTGCCGTCCGTCAGGAACTGAATTTCAAAATAAAGTCACCGGAAACAGACGTAGGCGATACACACCCACTGAACTGATTACCCAAGATCCTCAGCTATGGTTGAAGCTCGGTGATTGGATGTTTTAGCCGCAATGCACGTTGGGATATAGTGTTAATGCGATATGAAATAACTATCAACAGAATTGCGTTGCCAGGCAACAGCTTGGGGTGAAAACAGTATTTCCGGTCTCGAAGTTTGCATAGTAATCTGCAGTACTCATCAACTAAAATCATCAGTTTATCCTTGTTAATTACACAACATTGATTGGTTTAAATTGTGTACAATGCTTTTGTGTTTTTCCCCTTCGATTTTGAGAAACAAATAGTTTTTTCGGAGTTTAGGATGGCCGAAGACACTACACTACCCATAATCCTCAGCTATCATTTGGGACTACAGTCCCTGTGATTAATCTTCAAGCTCTGTGATTGGATGTTGGAGTGGCAGTGCGCCAAG